AGTAGCAGCAAGCAGGTGAATTCTGTACATTACTATGAATAGACATCTGACTATTTTACAGAATAGATACTCTCCACAAAGACTCCTGCCTGACCTCATCTGTCAGCCTGTCCATCACCACTTTGGGAAGCTTCTCAGAGCATCTCCCTCATGTAATACCACCCCCACCTTGAACCTGTCTGTCCTACTGCACATCCCACCACAGTCTCACTGTCCTCATACATGTCCTGTACCACTCTGACATACTTATCTGTCACTTCTGAATTCCTCATCTAGTACCGCAGCTCATCTCTTGGCGCCCCATGACATGCTTTCTTTAGAGCCACAAAGCCACAGTGAAGCACCATCTCTGTATGTCTCCATCACATTCTCAAAGCAAACGTTGCATCCGTAGTGCTCGTTCTCAGCATGAAACCATATTAACATACCTTTAATAATACTTTGCCATGTCTTCATGGTATGGCTCATTTATCCCTCTGCAGTTACTACAGCTCTACACATCATCCCTGTTCTTGAAAACTGGTCCCAGTACACCTTCCTCATTCCTCAGGCATCCGATCTCTCCCAATAATTGCATTAAACAACCTGTTAAAAATCCACTGGTGTGCCATCAGGACCACCTGCCTGTCCCCTTTCCATCCCTCCTTACTAACCTTTCTCCATCTGTTCTCCTCTCTCTCCCATTTTCTTCATTTAGTTGTTGTAGAAATGCACCTTTCCTACATTATTTTCTTTGCTCATAATAACTACTAAACTACATCAAGCATCTCCCAGCTTTCTCTGTTTTTCTTGATTTTTCATGTGTACACACATTTGTGGAAGAGAGATTATCTTCTTATTGTTTTACTGTGCCTCTTAGGGGGCAAACTATCTACCCGCACCATCGCCTAATAACAAGAAGGTCCTGGGTTTGAATCCAGCAGCTGGCTGTGTGGAGTTTCCATGTTCTCTTTGTCTCCATGACTTCTCTACAGGAACTCTGGCTTTCGCACACAGTCCAAAAACATGCTTGTTAGATTTTATTGGTATGTCTAAATTGACTGTAGGTGTGAGTGGTTGTCTGTCTCTATGTATAGCTCTGCAATAGATTTGAAACCTGTCCTGGATACACCCGGCCTCTTCCGTGATGTCAGCTGGGATACACTCGAGCCCTAATGTGAACCTAAATTGGATATGTTGCAGAAAATGGATGGATGTTACAGAAGACAAAACACCATGTGAGTGAAAACCAAACTGTGCTTTCTTTTTCTAACAGCAGGTGTCAGACTTGACTTAGATTTGATTTAAAAAGTAAATGATGCAGTTAGTGCAAATAATATTGATTATATCTATAAAAAGCATCTGAGTAGTAAATCCAACAAGAGGCTTCATATCTTTAAAGACATTTTTTCATATTTTAAAGAAAAAAAACCTGCTTATTAATCACCCCAAACACCGGTAACAAGACAATGGGAACTCTCTGGAATGTCCAGGGTGAAGAAGTCAACTGTCTTGCTGAAAAAAAATTACACCCTAAGAGCTAAAGGTCATTCAGAGGCTGTGCACTTCCCTTTTACAGCCCATTTATCTCCAGACTGTGTGGACGAGTTGAAACGGATCAAACAGAGACAGTTTTGACCAGAGGAAGGGCATGTAGGCCACTGTCTGTTGACACTACTGAGAAAACGGATATAATATACAAATTTTCACGTCAGTGTGACTGTAAATTATTACATGACAGGAATCCAAGAGGAAGAAGTCGGCTTTGCGGTTATGTGTTAAATTGTCACATTTTATTTAAGATTTAACTGTTTTATTTCGACGCCAATATCATGAAGAAAACATAATGTTCAGAAATCTCAACAGCGCTGAGTCTCATCACCCAAAATGTTGCTGTTTGCTGAGAGAATTAACACAAAACATCCAAGATCACTGTGAACTGACAGAACCAGGAAAGACACACCTTCAATAAGAGGGTCCTATTGAAGGTGAACTACAGCACAGAGTCGCTCTGAAGGTAAATCATATGTGCCATTCGTACATATAGCTGTCTACACTTTTATGAGTAATTTACATATTTGGCAGATTTTTAAATTAAGTAGAAATGAATGCAACCGTGGCAACAAACAACATAAAAATAAACCTTTCTGTGCGCACATCATACAACACAAACATTATATGGAAATGTAGATTTAAAATAAATTGTCTGATGAAAAACGCTGACAATGTGGAGCTCATGTGAAGTGCAACTGATGTAAAACTCTCAAGCTGCACTGTGATACATTCAGATACATCGATCGCAATTACAGAACAGACTGTTTATCATGAGATTTGGCTGTTACTCAAGTCAAAGTCCATTTTCTATTTTATTGCTCGAGTGACAAAACAGTTTTTGTCTGGATTAGTGATTATAAGAAATATTCCATGAGGCCGATTTGATTTCTGGAGCCTGAGACAGATGGCAAATGTTTTCGGTCATGAAAATTATGGTCATTTTCACTTCTCTTCCTGTTTCCAGGTTTTATACTAAGCTGTTTAATATTTAGTGTGTAGATATGAGTGGCCTCACACTTCCCTTTCCAAAATAAAAACCTAGCAGGAAGTTCACTGCTTTGCACCTCTGACGAGCACATATGGTTACTTTAAACCATCCCCAGCTTAACACTTGTGAGAAACGGTAAACGGTTTATTATAAGAAGACAAGAGAAAAGCATTTCAATGAGGACATGTGCAGCTGTTAAAGTAACAGAGTAATCAATGAATGTAAGCAGAAGATTCTGCTATTTAAACCTCCTGAAGAGACATCCGTTGTAGTGTCTTTTCTTCTTCTCGGTTGCATGTGAGTCCCATTTATCTTTTTCCCCCCGAAACACTGGTGGGCTCACCTCTCTGTGCCTGTGTGTGTGGTAACTATGAACTGAAATAGCAAACAAACCTAAAACAGCTGTCTGCTTAAAGGAGGGAGGGAGAGGATCCAGAGCAGACCTGAGGTAAACGTTGGCATGTTGACTCACACAGACAGCGCAGACAGAGAAGCTCTGTTGTCTGTGCTGCCAAGTCATTCCAGAGGTGACACGGTGACCTCTGTCTGTTGTTTTTCTGGCACCAGCCAAAGCGTAAAAGATAGCAGGGTACAAAACCCGAAAGTTTTCAACTCAGAGCAGTCAGAGAAGTAAACTGTAGACTTTAATCGTGCTTTATGTTGTGTTACTATCAAAGATGTTTCTGAGTGAAAAAAATACAGGTTTAAAAACTGATTTCCCCGTGACCCCACACGTCTTTACCGTTCTGTGAAGCCAAACGGTGTTACAGCGCACTGTAAACAGAAATGTTAGAGCTTTACCTTCATATTTGCCTTTCTAAGTTGACATAGAAATACGTGTATGCCATAAAAATGTACAGTTATGTAAGAGACTCTTTTGTATCTGCAGACATGTTTTCCCAAATACCTTCAAGTTTTTGAAGATAGATGTTCATTGAGAGGACTTGGAATGAATTTTAGAAGAGTTGCCGAGACAGTTTGATACATTTAATTTTAATTTTATTTAAACTTGAAAAATCATTGAGTGCCAGGCTTCATTTACAGTAATCTTTTTGGGTAAGCAGTGGGCAGTGAGGCTTAAACAGACACGTTTAATGAAGATACCTGCTTTCAAAGAAATTCTGGGGTTTTTTGGTAACATTTGTGTTCATTTTCCTACATCTAGCATATTCCCTCCATACAGTAACATCTACAAAAGACTAAAACTAACATTAAAACCAATGGAACTAATCATTTCCAAACAATAAAAGCTTCGCTTAAACAAGAAAAATACACTGAAAAGTAAATACAATTACACTAAACTAAAAAAATAAAATACAAAAACTGTAACAATTCTGGAATGCAGTTATAATCCTAAATATTTTCACAAAATAAATGCCATATTTCAGTCAATCAGCTAGAATTTTACTACTTAAAGAATTTACTATAATGCTGTTACATCTTTAGATAGTAATTGTATTTTTTTTAAATATGTATTTTATAGAGTGCGTCATGTAATATTATTTCAAAAATAATACAACAACAAATGTGCAAATATGAGATTAGATTAAATTTTAATGGAATTTTTTACTATATATATGGTATGATACATGTTTGTGTCACGACCCGATAAATGGGAAAATATTCATTATTCTGTATTTTTAGTTGAATTCAAGTTACACATTTATTAAGGCTACGTTTAATTCAGCATGAGGCTAATATATACAATATTCATTTATACAAAATAGGAAAAAAAAGATGTTGATTACTATATATTTTAATATGCTCCTGGGGGTTTAGTTTAAGTAACATTTACAGTAGATTTGGGGGAAAAAAATCATCAATAAAAAGTTAAAATAAAGTTTATTTGTAGACATTGTTGCTCAGCAGTCAGTAACCTGGGGGGTTGATTTGTGAGTCATCACTTCTCTCAGTCTGTGGTTGAAGTTAGAGTGGATCACAGGAAGTTCCTCCCCATGATGCAGTAGTCTGTGGGAGCAACAAAAGTCATCTGGCTCTGCAGAAAATAAATAATCAGGAGGTCAGATTGCTCCCAATGGGTGGGAACCTTTTACTACCAATCATGGAGGAAAAAGCCACTGACTCTTACTTACGTGCAAAGTTTCAGGCACGGCCCACCGTGTTCTCAAGACGCTCTATTCTCTCAGTCACGTCAGCAAGTTTGAGGAGTCAAGGACTTTTATTTGACAATTATACAATGGAGCAATAACACCAGTCACAATAATAACACGAAGAAACCATCAGATGTCAGCTGCAGAGACTGTTCATAATAAACTGTCGTCCATCTGAAACAACAGACTGGATATGCTTGGCTGTGAGCTGTTGGATGGCTGCCTGCGTCTGCTTCTGGAAAGCCAGTCTAGCCTCGCATTTGCAGGGATCCTCCACCACCTCGACCTTCACCTCTTTGCCGGGAGAAAGCAAATTTCACATCAGGGTAACAGATCACGCAGAGAGTGAAAAAGCACACAGAGCGCCACCCACGCCACTTTCCCCCACTAAACTGCTGATGGAGAACAAAACAAAGCTTAAATCAATGGAAGCTTTTTAAGGCAGAAAATTACAAATTTCATGTCAACTGTCCAAAAAAACAAAACCATCTGCTACAGATTCAGGATTTTTGCAGTGTTATGAAGCCGTGACCAGAATCCAAGCTGGGTATCTACACATGTCTTTAAACTGTTGAGCAGCATTAGTATGACACCAAAGAGCTGCAGAAATCCACACAGTATGTTCTTACGTTTCAGGGAACATGTTTTCTTGTCCACATTCAAGATATAACCTTTCCGGCACTTGCAGTAATACGAGGCGTTGCTGTTGACACAAATGTGTTCGCAGTCGTGTCCCATGGAGCAGGGGTCCACACCTAGAATAAGCCAGGATTAAGGGATGGCAGCATGGGTACAGTTTTCTGCGTGCAAGCAAGGTGGGTAGCTTGTGAAACGTAAGACTATGCTAAAAAAGATAGAAGCTATTTTTTACTTCACATTTTGGAATTTTACGATTTTTTTCTGCATGCATGAGTTAAAAAAGTATGACTGGAAACTTTTCGAAGATATTTGTAGTTGACCACACATATGGCGGAAACACCTTCACCGCATCTGTGAACTGCTGTGTGTTGGACAACTGAGGTAACATAACAAAGCACATCAGTTTGGACAGTTAACGAACAGACGCACACAAATTCACACATATGGAGAAACAATACAGCAAAACATCCATTTCAAACCTTCAACATCTGTCTTTTAGTACACGAACGTAATTGAAGAGCAGTCACACAAGTTAGCAAACTGTTTTTTTGATTGTTGATCATTGTGTCTGATAAATTTACTTTGAAAATTCGATGTTTCTATTATTCAAGCTGACGTTTCAAAAAGAATAAAATCAGCTTATATGGATGGATTTCACTTATCATGTTATGTTCATCTGAATGCTTTCTAATCAGTTTTCCAAATGTTTAAAAGTTTTGTAGAGAGGTTTTACTCTACGTTTGAATTATTTTCAACACAGACTAAGGAAAAATTCAGAGAATCAGGATGCTTTGATTGCAAAAATAATCAATCTATGATCACCATATAAACTTTTTTGCTTTTTAAAGAGAAGCTGACAGTCTTAAGACTTTCCGTGGGTTTAAATTGGCGACTACAAGCACGTTCTAGAGCCGACATCTGCAGTCCATACGGGGGCTGAGACCATCTGTTCTAATACTTTTTTCACATTTTTACCAATAGCTGTCAATGACCCACAAAAGCCTCCCCCTTGTGGACTGTAGGTGCCCCTTACTGAGGAACTAGAACCAGACTTAATGATGGAAAAAGGTCTTGCAGGCCCTCTTTGTCCTACCGCACAGGGTCTCTCTGAACTTGGACGTGAGCTTCTCGATGACGCCGTAGGTCTCCACGTAGAAGACGTGGTCCTCCAGAGGGGTGCTGGCCATCAGCTGCAGGGATCGCATGTCTGCACGGTCCACCCCGACAGCGTAGATCTCGATACCCTTTCCCCGGGCTGCAGCAGACACTTCTTCCACCTGGTCTTGAGGTCTCCCGTCTGTCACGATGATGGCCACCTTGGAGATATTCCTAGAACGAGGCCGGGCTCCGGACTGCTCGGTGAAAGCTTCATTCGCTGCAGTTTTGATGGCGAGGCCGGTCATGGTGCCAGTCGCCAAAGGCTCAATGCGGGAGATGGCTTTCTTCAAGTCTAGTTTGCTAAAATAGTCTTTGAGCAGGAATTCTGTCTTGACCGTGCTGGCGTAGTTGACCACAGCCACCCTGGTGGAATCTGAGCTCACTTCGAGGGTGTCGACCATGTTGGCCAGAAAGATTTTAACCTTCTCAAATTCTCCTTGACGCACGCTGCGAGAGCTGTCAATGATGAAGACCAGGTCCAGGGAACGGCTTCTGCACTGAGAGTCTGTCTCTGTGATCAAACCATGGCAGGATTAAATCGATATAATACAAAAAAAATCCAGTTCGTTATTCAGACAAACATTTGTACTTTCTCTGAGGTCATTATGTAGTTATTCATCCACAAAAGAAGAAAGAATACTTTGGGATGCACTCAATGAAACAATTGAGCATCGCCGCGGTGGTTCCTCTAAAATGATACTGTATGCTATTTGACATACTATGCATCATTTCAGGGATTCAACAGTCCATCAGAGACATGCTTTATCCTTTCATGTCATTTTCCTGAATGAAAAGGATGCCCTATGCCCAACACATGAAAAATGGCATGTCAATGGCAGTTAGAATCCCTGCCAGTCCGGTTTTACACACATACATTAAACTAGATCATTTCTGGAGTGTTTACCTCTTTACATAAACATCACTGATGAAATGGAACTAAAATATCTGACCTGAAAAAAGAGCATTGGTTGGTTTGGAAAGCAAACCTGACTGGTAATATTCTACCTGTCGGCACAGGACTGACGGTGGTGATGAAGCCGCTTTGGGTACTGACCGGTAGCGTCACAGGAGTGGTGGTCTTCCCTGGCGGCACAGCGGTCACCGGTGGCACTGTACTCGCTGGCAGGGTTGGTAGAATTGTCGGTTCTGGTTCAGTTGGAGGGCGTACCACAGGTGAGGGGCAGAGACCTTTCACTTTGTAAGGGAACGGGTCTTTGATCCCATGTTGGGGATGACGAACCAGTGGTGGTATGTGTATGTGATGCATATGTGGGCCTTTGAATGTGTGGTGAAAAGGTGATATGGGGACTGGGGGTCTGTGGTAAGTCACTGGTGGAGATAGAGGAATGGGGTGATACACTACCGGTGGAGGGATCCTTGGTGGCTGGTAGTGGTAGTGATACCTTCCTCTATATGTGTAGTCACTTCTGTGAACTACGAGGCCACCAGAAAGGAAAAGTGATGAGAACATTAGTAGGTTGGTAGAAGGTAAACAGGAAAGTTGTGTAAGTTGACATTGTGTAGTAAGTAAAATATACTGTGCAATAATCTCTTTTGTTTACTTAGGATCACAGACAAATTATTAGTATGTGCATTCAGCCATCCGGGCTGTTTCAGACAAGCTTCTACTATAGTCTGCACAGAGCTTGTGAAACCCCCAGCCAAGATCTGAGAATTCATGCAGGATGTGTTTGAGAAGAGTGTAAAATTTATTTGTTAGAATGAGTTTTTATGAATGAAATATCTGTAATATTAAAAATGAATGATTTTAACTACAAAAAATGTACATTACTTTTTTGTGGAAAAAAGCAAAACAATACTGCTAGAAAGGAGCGGTGGACAAAGTATGCTCACTCAAGTATCTTGTACTTTGTCAGCTCCACTAAACTTGGGAGTCAAATTCTAGTTGCTCTGCTCTCTGATATTTTAAATCTCTTAAATGTTTTTAAGCTGCTGTATTTCTTTTCCTAGCCTACCTATTCCACCACTGCTAGACTTTTGTGTAAAACCAGAATACTAAAAATTAAAGACTTACTTTCTGGATTCAGGGTCCTGAGCGGTGGGCGCCCATTATTTCTGGTTTGAGCGTAACTCTGAGCAGCCATTAGCTCGGGATCCCCTGCCATGAGGTGGTATGTGCCCTGTACATCAGACAGCAGGGGTGCAGCGCAGTACAGGAGGATCCAGTGAAAAGCCTTCATCATTTCAGTGTGCAGAGCGCCTTCTGTGGTCTGACCTCTCTGAATACTTTGTCTGTGAGGATCAGGGGGTCAAACCGCCACTGAGTAGGAGGAGACCTGAGTGAGACACGTCAAAGTGTCTGCCCCAAAAAGGTGGGTCATGAACTTCAGGAGAAGGTGTATAGAAGAGCCAAAAATGTTTCTTTGTTCTTATTTTTTCAATGTTTTGCAACAGTGCTGCAAATATGCAAATCTTGATTTAACATAATGAAAAAACATTTGGGACAATAAAGTGGTAAATATGTGATTTTGTTGATCTAAACATGCTGTCTGAAATACACTCTACCAACAAAGTCCAGAGTTTGAATAACTTAATATAAAACCTGTGGAGCTATAGACAATAATACATTACCTTAAAAAATTCTGAAGAATTACTGTTTAAGACCACTTTCAAAAATTAATAGAAAGTCTGGCTACTTGGAAACAAAATAAAGAAATAAGGGCTGGGTTGAGGTCGTCCCTAAACACTAACTGTATTACTACCTGCTGACACTAGATGGCGTATGAGTATTATCAATCACCAGCATATGAGTCTATGAGACGATGTGGTTGTTTTTTTGTCCTTAACGCTATTTCAAGACTTGTAGTGAGAGCTCCTTCTTTTTAATATCTCTCGATTTTCCTTCAGTTTATTTATAATGAGAAAAAAAAAGACGAGAACTTAGATGTAATAGTTTTGAAAGGTTTATTGAAGTCAAATGTATTTCTACTAGGATAAATCATATGACCAATATAGGAACGAGGGTAAGGTTTGCCGATAAGCATGCAACAACTAATTTTCACAAGACTAGCCGTTTTCTACAGGTATCAGGTAAAAGTTAAAAAGAAAAAGCAGAGAAAATGATCCACCATCAGTGCCCTCTGCCCCCACACTGTTTATCTTAGCTGGAACACAGTTTACTACCTTAGCCAACACATAGGGGCAGCAGAGAGTGGTGATGATGTCTAAGGTGGGGGTAAAACTTAATTACAGTGAAGCTAAATAAATAACAGACAAAAAAATGCTACAGACTCCATTCAAGACTGAGATAGAATCATTTACTTCTTAATGATTGAGGGGAAAACTGTAACACAATGCAACAATAAGTGCTATAATAAGTGGATTGTCAGTTTGTTTTTCTTTTAAACTTCATATATCAATCTATTAATGGGATGTGCTGGATTGATAAGAGCATTTCAAGCAGTTGAACTTTCACATATATCCCTTTTACTAAGACACCAAAAAAAATGATGGCAGAAGTTGGGGGTGGGACAGGAATACACTTGTGCCTCTTTTTAAACACATTCATTCATTCATCTATTTTCAGTCATGCTCTCATTTGCCACCTTTCTCCTCTCATCTCCAGAACGCTCTCTATAGACACTATAGAAATACAGCGGCTGAGGGCGGGTGGGAGGGTTGAACTAAACATCTTCAGTGGTCTTACACTTACACAACAGGTCAGAGGGGTCAGGATGAGGTGAGGGCAAGAAGGAATGCATATGATGGCTGTGTGTGCGTGTGCGTGTGTGTTTTGGCAACAGGGCTGGTGTTTAGGCTGGCATGTAAGGAGGAGGCGGCTCCTTCTCTGGCATCTTCATGGCCATCTCGTAAGTAGGCAAGATGTACTAAAGAAGAGAGAGAAACATTTAAAGTAGTGAGGGCTCATTGTACAGGGAGGGGGAAAAAGACAACATGAAACCAAAAACCCAACCAAGCATGTCTCTGAAAAAAAGAATTGAGAGTCATGTTCTGTGACTCTCAGTTCCTTTGTTGAATTCAACATCAATAAATTAAATTAAGCTGTGATGACATCAGAACTCCCATCTGCAGTATTCAGCACATTCTGAGCAAAGCAGAATCAGTGAAGTTAAAATTAGTTTGAAATTATTCTGAAACTCGATTAAAAATAATGGAAAATGCACAAAGTGAATCGGAGCTTTTTAAATGTGAATGCTGGCAACTTCTGTTTGTCTACAGACACATTTTCAGTCTAATAACTGAGAAGGTAACCGGCAAACTAAATCATTTATATTGTTGATTTTAGCCCGAGTTATGAATTAATTTTACCATAGTAGAAGCATGTTATAGTGCAACATAAACAATAACTAATATTAAATGTTTCTTTAAAGATGGCGTAAAGAATATCTGGAGTGAGACTATCCTCTCAGCAGGTCAGCTTTCAGTGTGGAGACACCGTGTCGCCTGCTGCCTCAACTACAGCATCACGGTGCCAGTGTCTCAATACTTTCTGTTCATAGATGCTGAGGCGGCCTGCATACCTGGGGAGGGGTTTCAAAGGCAGGGTACACAGCGATCTCTGGCATGTTCCTGTTGTTAATATACTTGTAGCAGTTCCACACACAGTTGATCAAATAAGCCTGGAAAGCAGAGGGAAAACTATTTGTATCGTTACAGTCGACAGCTTCCCGTCTCCTCCTCCTAAATGAACACATATGCCAAAACCAAACAAACATACTAATATAACTGTGTGTGACTGTGAATAATTGATAGATTCACCTTGAGAATGATGAGGAAGGCAAAGAAGACCAGCACAACGAGCAGCAGGCAGCTGGAGTTCATATAGAGGAGGTTATCCTTGTATGGGAAATCCGGCTGAGGAAGAAAAGCAGACAAAATGTTGATTCTTACTCACTTTACTGTCAGCATTTCCACACTCGAAATGTAAAAAGACTACTATCGTTTTCTTTTTTTTCTTCTGAAGCACCCTTACTGAAAGAATAACAATGAGCTCATCTGTTTTCTTACATTTTTTTCCCTCTAGGAAATAATCTCTGTACGTGTAGAGATAAATCGTATGGTAAAATCAGAATTCTCTCTCTTATTATCGTTAGAAGCATGAAAAGCTTAGGTTGTGGATACAGTGACTGTTGACTGTTGCTTCATTGGTCATGGCTGCATCTGAAAGGACTCCCTATAAATACTGACTGTTTACTAATTGAGTGTTTGATGTATAAATGTGCACATTTACTCAGTTTTATTTATATAGCACCAAATCACAAAAACAGATGCCACAAGGCACTTTATATGGTAAGGTAAAGACGCTACAATAATGGAGAGAAAATCGAACAACGCTCTTTGAAGAGGCACTTGGCGACAGTGGGGAGGAAAAACTCATGGAGCGACAGCCATCTGCCGCGACCGGTTGGGGGTGATGGGAGGAAGACGGGTTAAAAGGCAGACTGTGGAAGAGAGCCAGTTACATTTATACGCTGTAGTGTCCATGAGACTTCCAGTGTGACACAAAAGTATACTACCTCCTTAACAACTTTTGCATTTATGCAACAACACTTATGGAAAATGATGACTAATAAGTGTCCAAAATCTCAGTTTCCAGCTGGGCATGGTGTGAATCACTAAATCTTTAGAGAGAGCAAAGAGGGCGATACTGGATGAGGGCCAAGTGAGAAGTTGTAAAGATACTGTCATGGAACGGGTGTAGTCAGATTGAGATATTGTGAAAAATAACATCGGACTTTGAACTGACCAGCTGGTCCAGGTAGTCTCTGATCCTGGGTAGGTACGTGAGAGAACTGATGGCCACCAGGCAGCTCAGAGCAAAGTCAAACAGCTGGTAGCAGAAAAATGGGATGAGCCAGCCCTCACGATGCTAAAAAAGAAAGAAAGAAAGAAAGAAAGAAAGAAAGAAAGAAAGAAAGAAAGAAAGAAAGAAAGAAAGAAGATTAAAAAAATGAATCACTTGGGCAGATCTTTTATAATTTTGGAAGAACCATAGTGCAGATTCAAACCTTATCTCTAAACACTTGTCTTAGTTAAGATAACATTATGAATGTTATGATAACATTAATATGTTTAGAGTTTATTTAGATCTACAAATCTTACAGCTGTGGGTGCACTACTCATTTCTTAAGAAGTCTTCTTCCAAGTTTTAAACGTAACGATTCTGAGATTTTCCACTGCTCAGATTGAAATATCAGATGTGCTTTGAGGTAAACAAAACACAAACAGCTAACAATGAGCACCCATCGATATAAACAGGCATTATCATAAATATATATAGAGATGGTTTAAATCAGCAAAACAGTCCTTTCTGATACATTTTCTTTCTACCAAAGCACAGTGTACTCAGGTTCTGACAAAAATCTTCTTCACTGCTAACATTAAGTAGGAATTTGGGTTTGGTACACTATAATTAAATACTTATTATAATGGGGAGGGTGGCATCTAAAAGGGGTACCTGGTATACTACAGTGGAAAAGGGTATCTGCCACATTTGTCTCTGGGTTTCTACCTGCACAGTAATCAGCATGCACAGTATACCCAGCCTGCAGATGGGTGTCATACTTTTAACTGTGCAGTCATCCATACTAGCAGCTAAATACAGGTCCACGTCAAAACGCTATCAAACCTGTCAGTCTTGATGCCATCAGGCAAGCCTGTGAGGTAAAGACGACAGGCAATAAGATCACAGCATTGTGTGCTTCAGCCCCATGACATCAGGGCTATTTGGCGTGTTTTTCTCCTTTGGTTACCTCTTATCCTGCTTCTTTTTCTTTTACACTTTTAAACACGACATTTGGGATTACATTTTTGCATTTAAAAAAAAAAAAACACGACAACACTTTAAATATATTACATGCTGTCAAAGAGATTTAAAAAGAAAAAAAAAGATTATTTACAGTGCACACTTACAGTAATAGCTCCGTACACCATCATGGCACTGATAGTGAGCATCAAGAGAGAGATGGCAAATCCAACACAGGCATTTTCTGTATGAGGAAAAAGACAGAAGGAATACACTGAATGAATACAGTTAAAGATTTTACTACATTTTATTACAGCACTGGCTTTGTTGTTAAACATACAGTAAGTGAGGAAGAATGGATTTTTGCCTGTGGTCTTTGAGGCAGCTGCATTCAGTGTTAAGTGAACAGTCTCCAGGGATTCTCTCTTTCCAGCTCACTCCATTTTAAAGGCCAGCTCTGGGGAGCATTAAGCCTCTCGCTTTCGGTCAGTAAAGACATAATGA